TAGGAAGGGGCTAGACGGTTTGTGGCGTAGGCTAACGTCTAGCGTGCGCCATGGCGTTTTTAGCGCGGCAGAAACTTTTGAAGGGAACCTCCGTAATAGAAGGCTGCTCATGAGAGCAGCTGAAGGAGGTTGTGCAGCTTGGATCACGTCCACACGACATCGCCAGCCTCAAACTACAATGCCAAGGTCATCGCCAAGAAAGCTTAACCCAGCCCTCCGCGGTCGCCAGCCACAGTGGCACGAATGTGCAGCTGGCACGACCTTGAAGCTCTGTATCGTCATTTAGGCGCAGTATAAAAAGAGCGGCGACTGGGCTCCAGGTGGTGTTTTGGAGGTGCAGCATGGCCACACTGGTGGCACACTACGGGTATCAGAAGACGGTCTGTATAATTGACGCGTAATGGGACAGTCAACTGGACCAATTGTGACGTGGTGATGCACTGTGTGTGGCTTAGTAGGGCCGACCTAGCCGCGCCCAGAAGCACGCCCCCGCGGTTTCCTACCTACTATCCTTGCTGTCGCATTCCTCAACTCCTCTCTTAACCTCAGCTCTTCACTCTTCGCCAGCGCCCTCATACTTTGACTGACCACTATCGCGCATCTGCTCCACGATACTCATTGACCGGCTACCTACAAAAACATCTGATAGTGACAAAGGACAAGCGCCCAACACCGCGAACCGCCGTCACTACACGACTTACACCACCACCAACCTCCTCAACACCGATCCACAACCTCAACACAATGTCTGCGAACAACTACTATCAACAGGGTCAACCCCAGTACCCACCCCAGAGGTAGGTTGTTGTCATAATCTCCAAAAGCATAGAAAGGATAGCTAACTTGCGCTCCAGCTATGGACCTCCCCAGGGCGGCTACCCTCAGCAGGGCTACCCTCCTCAGGGCGGATATCCACCTCAGCAGGTACTTCTTGCCCTCCAGTCTCGCCGCAATGCTAGCTATGGGCAAAGCAATTGACAACACACAGATGCAATACCAACAAGGACCTCCTCAGCAAGCGCCGCGCCAGAAGAAGGATCGCGGATGCTTGGGCGCATGGTACGTGAAACATTCATCATTTGCCCTCAACACCAGACCTCTCGCCCCCACTTCTGCGAAAACCGCAAAAGCAAAGAACAACACTGACGTAATACGTGCGTAACCAGTCTCGCCGCCCTTTGCTGCTGCTTCGTCTGCGAAGAAGGCTGTGAATGCTGCGCCGACTGCTGCGAGTGCTGTCTCGATTGCTAGACACCACCTCCCACCATATCCATCTAGCGCTTGACCGGCTCAATCCCCCGGATTCCACGGCTCGGCGCTTACACTACACGCGATGCGGCACGAACCCAATACCTGAACTGGAATGCGACTTTTGTACATCCACACACAAATTTGCTTTGTTGCTTGCGAGACGATACGAGAGGAGGAAGACGGGATACGAGGGCTCCTGATGTTCGATGCCCTACTGGATAGAGCATCAAGGAAAATTCGATAACGAGCATGTAAACGGCTGGGCCAGGTCTGGCGGAGTCCCTTTTTTTCTAGCTCCTTGTTTGATTAGGCAACGTAGGTAGTCGGGATTGCTTTCATATCCGTGGATAACGGATTCTGGATTCTCGGAGACGAAATATAATGCAGAGTTGCTTTTGCTTCCAATACCTGTTCAATTAAGCTTTTGGGGGCGGCTAACACGTGCTGTCGAACTCACTCCAACTCTTCCATGAGCTCGGCAAATTCAAGCATGATGTGGACGACTCAAGCGTCGAAATTAGACGTTCGCGGACACCTCAGCATGCCAACGTCAGACGTCCTCTGACCGCGCTTAAAAAGTCTGACGCAATGTCAAGGACCGCAACCACAAAATCAGACCTCTGGATATCACTAACAGTCCACAGTGTGCCAGCGTCATTGGTCCCTCGACTCGCCTCCAAACCCCAAACTGGAAATCTACAAACATTTACAAACTGGAAGCGTCCAAACCAAATACTTGGCAATGCATTGACTTGTGGACCCCCAGAAGACCCTCAGTCCACCATGTATAATACAAATCCTGGCATCGTGACCTTATTCTCACACTCGCACTCAGCAAACCAAAAAGCCATACCAGAACGAACTTTATTAAAACTACTAATCGCCCATCCCTCCATACCATCCCTACAAACATCCACTTTCCCACCACCCCATGCCGCACCTCCAAGAAAAACAAAATCTCAAAAGAAGAAACGGCAACAAAAAATCGCTACCATGCAATGCACGCACCTAAAACGACAGTAACAGTAACGCGTTACACGAAAATAGCTACACTTCACCCTTTCCCCACATCCCCACCTCCTCTCACCCCTTTCCACCCCCTCGCCCAAACCAACCCCCCCACAAACACAAACCCATATATACAACTCATCCCCTCCCCGCACACCCCCTAAAACCCAAACGGATTCATCGGTGTCGCCTTACTCAAATCCGCCCGCCCCGTCGGCTGCGCCACCAGCTTCTTCGCCTTGGGCTGGGTACCGAACCGCACCGGCGGCGCGGGGCCCGTCTTCTGCGGCGTGAGCGGCGCCAGCCCACCACCTTGCCCTCCAAAGCCCGTCGGCATGGGCGGCATGGGCGGCGCGCTCTGCTGTTGCTGTTGCTGCCCGAACCCACCACTGGCACCACCGTTCGTGGTGCCGAACCCAGTGCGCTGCGGCTGCAGCGCCGGCGGGAGGAACATGTTGATGCCCGTCGCCTGGGGGTTAAGCGGCTGCGGCGCGAAAGAGTTGAAGCCCGTGGGCTGGGGTTGGAAGGGCTGGGTCGGCGGATCGGCGAAGGGGGAGGTATTTGGCTGGAATCCGGTTTGCATGGGTTGTTGCTGCTGGGGTTGGAATTGCTGGCCGAAGCCTGTGGGCTGTTGCTGCGGGAACTGCGGTTGCTGTTGCCCAAAGCCGGTTTGCATGGGCTGTTGTTGTTGGGGGGAGAATTGGTTCATGCCTGTGGGTTGGGGCATAATGCCATTTTGACCGAAGTTGTTGAAGCCTTGTTGCTGTTGCTGCGGGAAGCCGGTCTGCATCGGTTGTTGCTGTTGCATGAAGTTGGGGTTCAGGCGTTGCATGTTCAGGTCCTGGAGGCTCTGGCCGGGTGGTGCGACTTGGGTGTGCATGTTTGGTGCGCCTTGGAAGCCAGTGAGCTGGGGTTGGAGCGGAGGAGGCCCAAAGGCGCTTTGCTGATTCTGAGGAGCTGATGAAGCTCTCGGAGGCGGCGGTGCGATCAAGCCACCGCCCTGAGAACCCTGCGGTGCTTGTGGTCGCTGCCTAGCTACCGACATCTGCTGATTTGGTGGCTGTGACAAACCGAACCCGGTGGGCTGCTGTGTCATGAAAGAAGGTTGTTGAGGCGGTTGGGCTTGAGGCAGATTGGCGACCTGGTCAAACAATGATGGTAGACCTACAGGGGTTGCTTGCTGAGGAGCAGGTTGTGGCGCAGGTGCTTGCTGTGGTGCTGGTTGCGGTGCCGGTGTTGGCTGCAAAGGAGGAGTGAGCAAAGACAACTCTGCTAACGATCCAGTGAGAGCAGGGGTTGGAGCAGCAGGCGCTGGCGCTGGCGCTGGTGCTGGTGCTGGAGCAGATGCCTGAGGAGGCGGCGCTGAGGCAGACACTGAAAGCTGTCTCGATGGCTTAACTTCCCAGGCGTTGTCATCAAATCCGTCAACCTTCTTCTCCGGTGGAGGAAGACCTACAAGCGGAGTCGCCGTAGCGTCTGCGGGTGCCGCTCGCTTGACCGCGTCGTCCGTCTTCTGCTCAAAAGCCTTTGCATCGACAACGTCGTTGGTTTGGACGGGCGGAGCTGGACGACCCTTCCGCGTGTTGTTCCTCAAAGCACCACCAGCACCACTGAAGAGACCACCGTTCGCCTCGCCGTCCTCGTTGATGACGGATGTGTCACCAAAACTGACACCGCGCTTCTCCTGGTCGGCCCTAGACCTATTGAACTTCTTGTCAAGGAACTTCATGACACGGAGAATATCCCCCTCCTTTAGACCCAGAGTGCGAAGCAGCTTTTCGTTGACGTCCGGAAGAACCTCTTCGCCCATCTCATCCCGTAAGAAGGCAGAAGAATACCGTTCGCATATCTGAGGATTGACACCACACCCCAGGAAGAAGTCAAACCAGTCATACTCGGGTCTCTTTGGCTTCTCCACCGTAATGCCAGCTTTCCCTTCGGCAATAGAGTCGCGGTCTTTTTGGCGTTGCGTGTTCCTCCTCTTCAGGTCTGCCAATGGCTTGTCCTCATCCAATGAAACTCCAGTGGCACGTTCGACGTACTCCAAGTCCTCAATGGCCATCTTCGTTACCGGTACTGCAATTTTGACGCCATTGAGTTTATGAAGATGGATCTTTCCATCCCTGAGCCCGATGAATTCGGCTTCCACCTTAAACGAGCCAGATCGGTCGGTCCACGTACGGATTTTCGCTGGGTTGGGTTCTACAGGAATTAGTTGGATGTACTTGTAACATTCCTGTATACTCACTTGGTTTCGCTGTTGCTGGGCTGTCTTTACTGCCGCGGGAGCCTCTCTGTGAAGTACGTCTATGGTCAACTTCTGTTTGCATCAAGCTGCTATGACGCTCAGGCAAAGCAAGGCCGGGGCCTACCTGTGCAGCGCCAGAGTCACTCTCGCGTTTCTTATGCGCCTTGGAGGCTTCCCGGGTCAGTCTGTCCTCCTCCAGCCTGTTTTGGTCCACGGTGGATCGTCCTGCATTGACGCCACTGCGACTCGAAGCTGAAGGTACTGCGATGGTCTCGGTGACCTCGACGAAATCCCGGGGAACAACACCCTCTTTCCCGTTCTTCAATCTTCTGACCTTCCACCACTCGTCACTAGCCGTGTCGTCAAGAATAAGGACTTCGTCACCAATTCCAACTGTAACCTCATCGTCACCCTGAGCCATGAAATCGAACAAAATCTGGCCTTTCTTTTGCACATTGGACGTCCCTGAGCCTACCGCAAGCACCTCCCGCAATCCCTCGGCCTTTGCCATTCCGGACAACTCGCCGAGAGACGCGAGAATCTCAGACGCAGTGTCTTTAGCACCACAATGAAACTCAATACTTTTGCTCGGCTTGACCAGCTCCATAAAAAGATGCTTCCCCTCCTGTGAATAATACGTCATTTTTTCTGCGGTCCATTCTTTCTGCGGTCCATCACGTGACTTTTCAGGTGCTATAAAAATTGTGCCCTTTGGAACGTTGATACCCAGGGTCATAGGCATCTTCCTCTTCTTCCCCATGTGCGAAACCATCTCATGAATATTATAGAGGTGGAAGCCGGCTGGCGAAAGCGGCCCATGGGGATTACGGTCGTCATCCCTATCGTCTTCGACATCCTGGAACTTTACTCGCGGATTCGCTATTGGCGACATCGGCGGAGGAGACGCGGGTGACCGCGAAGAGGCGTAGTGAGTGGGAGGTGGCGAAACTGCCTGCGATTGAGGTCTTCGAGGCATTGGAGGAGGTGCTTCTTCGTCAGACTCCTCGGGGGTGTATTGGGGTCGTCTTGATTGAGAAATTATTGGAGGGGGAGAGATGGGCTGTCTTTGCGATCCCGAATTCGCTGTCTTTTGTTGGAGGAGACCTGCCAGCGCAGCAGCTGGACTCTGATGTACAGGGCTTTCTGGCGACTGAGGTGTCGGAGGCTCATATCCGTGTTCAGGTTCTGACTGCGAAGGAGCCCGAGGACGCCCTGGCAGTGCAGGTGTAGGACTTTCCCCAGCGTCAATATAATTTGCTGGGGCAAAACCGAAGTCGCCATCCAAGCCGACCAGTGTCCAATCTGGATCCGTTGTATCGTATACATCAAGGGTCGCGTCTTCGCGGAAAGACAGCTCTTCGTCGGTTTGTCTGGTATAATCGTAGAGGGCCTTGGCTTTCTGCAATGGGATAGCCTGGGAGATAGGATGTTAGTAGATGTTTGCAAAAGAAACTACATTTTAGAAGGCTTCGATAATCTAGGCAAAAGGGATTCTGCATGGTTTTGGGTCTCAATATGAAAGGCCATGGTGATCAAGGTCTTCTCTCGAGAACTCACCTCCTCAACATAGTTGTTTGGTATTAGTCCCTCGGGCTCATCATCGCTCTCGTCTGCAGCCTTTTTCTTAGCCTTCCACCAGTCATCGTCTGAGCTCTTCTCGAGGACGAAGAGGAGGTCGCCCTCCTTGATAGCTAGCTCATTGTCGCCCTGTGGTACATAGTCGTAAATGGCACGGTAGATGCCCAGGAACACCATGGTGTAGATTACAAGGGCGGTGGCACCGAGTCGCTAGCTAACGACGATCGGAGGCACAATAGTGAGGGAGGCAGCTAATACTGGCTTGAAGTTGACAGTGCTGCGTCCGCATAAGCTGGGCGGACAGCACGGGGGTTTGCTGGAAAGATCGGGAGCTTGCTGCGACGCGGCAAAGCGCGGCGCCGGCGGATAGCACGAGGCGAAGACAGCGCGAGCGCTGGGGAGCAGCTAGATAATGAATAGGCCGTTGTATTTGGGAGAATGGGCAGCGCGGCGGGCTGGTGGTCAGAGGTGTGGTGGCTGCTGAGCGGGAGGCCTGTTCACCTGGTCGCGCACAGGCCGCGCATGAAGTATACCTTGGCGCAAGTCTCCGTCATGCAACGCGCAACACCACGGCATCCCTGTCGAGCAGTACATATAGTGTGGCCTTCAAGACCCTATGAGTCCTGACAGCGTTCATGAACTTCACATTCCAAATGATGCTCTTTATTATTTTTCAAGAGAGCGCAAGACTTATACTTAGTTCCATTGTATATTTTCGGGCCAAGACGCTAGCCGCAAGTATCACGAGCTATATATGTTGTACTCGAGTCGACTATAGAGAGTGAAGCTCTTCTTTGGAATCCGTATCAACAGCCTGAACCTGCTGCTACATCTATTCTTGGTACTGCTAGGCTCGTACAAGGCTGATAGAACTTGCCTACGCCCCCGCGGAGGATCGACAATGCATTCACCGTTCCAGGCCAAGAATTAGAGTACCCGCTGTTATTTCACCAACTTCAACCGATCTTTTAATCTACTGAGCATCTTCCAAGCAACGAGCACTAGAACGTGAAACGGAAGCCCTCCTGTGCAAGGTTAGCAACTGCGCATTCCCGTGATCATTCGAAGAAACTCACAGTATTCTCAATGACCTTTTTGCCCTTCTTCTGCTTCTGATTTGCTAAGAAGAAATAACCAGAAAATAGAATTACGCATACAATCATCAGGATATGCGAGCTAAACTCCGTTAGAAGCACCTTCAAGTAGCCAGGAACACGACTTACCCAATGCTAACCCAGATTGCGGTAATGTAGCGCGGAGCCTCTGGCTGTCGTACGATGAAGCTACCTGCAATACCCCCAGCACCATTGCAGGCTGTAACAGCAGCTGCAGTGAATACCCTCTTCCACTGCCTGTGCATAAATTAGCACCACTTCCTCATATATGAAGGGCAGCTTACCCAACGATGTTGTTGGCCTGGTATGCATTCAGAGCCGCCCAATTTGCAACATAGGACCCAGTCGCTAAATATGTCCCAATGTATCTAACGGTTACTTGGTTGCTGAAACCGAGCATGCAGAACCCGACAATGAGGCAGATTGAGTTGAAAGCGATCACAGGGCCTCGAAGTCTGAAGCGGTCTCCTACCCAGGATGAAAGCAGTGCTGGAATAACGGCGTAGTAGTATGGAGGCGCGGATAGGAGGATCGCCTTGTTCGTGCTAAATCCCATTCCTCCCTGGAGAATGATTGGCAGGAAGTAGGAAAGAGAGGTTGAGACGAGATTAAGGAGAAAGTACATGACACAGAATCCATAGACTTTTGGATCTGCAGCATGATGGAGGACCTTAAACCAGGTAAAGGTGTCGATTTGGGCATCCCCTCTGTCTTTTTGAATCCTAGATGCCGCAAGAGCGCTCTCCTCCTTCGTGAGGAAGAAAAAGCTCCTGTGTGCATTCTCCGGGAAGTCAACCATCCACCAGAAAGTGACGATCCCCAGGAACATGGAGATGGTTCCCTGTACGATGAACATCCATTGCCAGCCTTTAAGCCCTTGCTCGCCGTTGAGCTGGTTCAATCCGTAGTTGACAATCCCGCCAGTGGCGAGAACGATGACCTCACCGCTTTGCAGGTACGCAAATCTCAGCTGTTGCTCTTCTCTCGTGTAGTACGTGCTAATCAGATAGGTCAATCCTGGGTAGATGCCGGACATGGAGATGCCGAGAAGCACTCTCAACGCAATCATCTGTCGCCAGGTCCGCACAAACGCCGTCGCGAGGGTAATGACTCCGAAGCAGAAGGTAATGAAGGCAAACCAGATCCTCGGACCAAAAGTCCGAACTGCGATAGTCGAAGGCAGCTGGAAGGCAATACTGGCGACGGTGAAGATGAAGATAGAGACTGAATAGCGGTTTCCTTGATCAAGATGCAAGTCGCTGAGCATTGAAGTCACCGACGCACTCGAGATGACGCCGCTATCCAGCAAGTCGAGGCTGCAGAGGATGCCAGCAATGCTGCACAACCGTAAATCGACTTTCAATCGGAGCCGGCGCTCAATGGTTACTTTCGTTTCATCTGTTTCATCTCGTTCATCTCGGACGTCGTCGCCTTCATCGTCCTGGAGCAGCTCCGGCTCTGGGAAAGGGATGTTCTTCGACATTGTCGTGAATTGGGGCGAGTGTCATGGTGGGCAATGGCAGAGGCAAACATTTTGTAATCGGCGGTTGTGGTGGTTGAACAGGGCCTGGTGCAACCGCATCCCTTCCTCTCGGCTCCTGCCGATTACGGAGGCTTTGACTCCACTTCTAAAGCTCCTATCCTTCCCGAGATCGTCACCCTCCTGCTTACCAGACAGATAGCCGATGTGACTCACGGACGTAATTCTCGTCACGATGGACAAACGACTTGTAATACTCGTTCTTGGGCGACAAGCAGCTGCCTACCGCACTCTCAATTCCTTCATTGCGTGAGAAGCTGGAAATATTATGGCGTTACCAAGCTCAAGGGTGCCTCACGAGGGCATGGAGTTACAAAACATGCCTGCTGAGTTACACATTTCCCAACAGACGTCAAGGAATGGATCTGCCTACGTATCTTCATTGAACCCGACATTAGAAGAACGACAATCGCCTCGAAATCAAAGGTAGGCTTCAGCCGTCACCCCATTCATGTATATTAAATCTATATTGATCACTTCTTCCCACTATCTCACAAATACTTCTCTATACTGTAGTTTTGGTGAGTCCTACGAAGCTAATGAATGCAATGTCTCACACTCCAGAAGAGCCATCCTCACCGTAATCGCGGCCTTCACTCTCACCTTCACAGGCTGCGGCCTCAACTTCGCATTCGGCGTCTATCAAGAGCTCTACGAAACCCTCGACGGCCCCTTCTCCCACGCCAGTCCCGCAGCCATCGACCTCATCGGCACTCTCGCCGTCAGCCTTATGACCATCTGCTCCCCACTAGCCACCGCTTGGACTAAAGCCTACTCCCCTCGGACTATGACCCTTATTGGCGGCAGCATCTTTCTCCTTGCCAACGTCCTCGCCTCATTCGGCCAACAGCTCTGGCACTTCCTCTTAACGCAAGGTGTGATGCTCGGCTGTGGAACCTGCTTAACCTTCATCCCCGCCATGACCATCGCGCCAGGATGGTTTGACGGACGCCGCGGCTTCGCTATGGGCATCATCCTCAGCGGGTAAGTAGTCATTAGACATTCGGAATTTAGAATCATTATTAAGATTCTTGTTATTAGGACTGGTGTCGGTGGCGTCGTGTGGGCGCCAGCACTGCGCTCCCTCAATGCCTCTATCGGATTCCGCAACACCCTTCGTTTGACCGGAGGCATCGCGTTCATTCTCATCTGCACCGCTGCATTCGTATTGAAATGGGACCCAGATAGTGAGAGACGTATTGCGGTTGAGTATCCACCAACCTCCTCTACGTCTTTCGGAGCAAGATTCATACATGTCAGAATTCCGCTTGTCAACTGGCGGATTGCGCGCTCGAAAATCTTCGTTGCGGAAGCGCTGGGCGCGATGCTGCAAGCTGCGGCGTATTATACCCCCGTTTATTTCTTCTCGTCCTATGCGAGGACGCTTGGATATAGTGCTGCCAGCGGTGCCAGTTTCATCGCCATCTCGAACGCCTCCTCTGCTATGGGCAAGGTCGTACTGGGCTACATTGCGGATCGGACCGGACGGCTCAACACGCTCCTGGTGTGCACTATCATCAGCGCTATTTCCGCGTTGGGTCTGTGGTTCCCATCAACCTCAGCGGCCGTCGGCGAGGGGCAGAAGGCGAAATCCCTCTTCATCGCGTTCACAATCTTATACGGCATCTTTGCAGGCGCATACGTCTCGCTGTTCCCAACAGTCCTCGTCGAGTTATTCGGAGTCCAGCATTTCGCAAGCGTGAACGGATTCCTGTACATGGTCCGCGGATTCGGCACGCTACTTGGCACGCCGATTGCTGGTGCGCTCATCCATTCGTCTGGAGCGAGAGTCTCGACGGGCTTTGGGCATAAGGCGATGGATTATACGAAGCCGAGTGTTATGGTGGGCTCGTTGCTGGCGGCTGCGACGGTGAGTGTGTTCTGGATTAGGTTGGAGGCTGGTGGTGTGGCGAAGTGGAAGGCGTAGATTACAGTGCCCAACTGTAAGCGGATTGTATAGAAGGTGAAGAAGGTGAGGTAGTGTCCGCTTCATTTCGAACGTTGTCCAAATTAATGGAAAAGAAATTGATGTCGATGCTTCAAGGTCAAGATTAAAGTGCAGAGGTCCCTGCCTGTGCCCAGCAAAAAGCTAATCTGAGAGTGACACAGGTGTTCTAAGGGTACATATTTCAAGTAAATTTGGCTTACTTCCAAGAATTCGTGCCTCTTTGCGGAGTAGCAGCGTGACCGGAATGGTGTGATGGTAATCACCAATCCCAATTACTGCACAGCGCGGAACTTGTCAGTAATGGAGTGAAAATTTCTCAAAATAAAAAAATGGTTTGCGCCCCTTAGTGGGCAGTGCCTTTTGACACTTTTGGGGTAACATCTGACTTTTGATCTTGTGGTGGATCGGATGGAAGGAGGCGCGTTCTTTGGGTTTTTCCGATTAGATGGTTTCTCACCCCTCAGGTTCTCGCTCTTGACTGGAGTTTAGCATACCTCACCCCCATCTCTTTTCCCCTCCTAATATCATATTAGCACGCTTTCCTCAAACGTACTTCACACCCCATCTCTCCCCCATCCGACTCCCAACCCCACTCCTCTCCCTAATCCCACTCACACAACCCCTCGCCTCTTCCATCAACCTCTCCTCATCCACACCCACCAACTCTCCCCCCTCAACCCTCACCACGCCCCCCACAACCACCACCTCCACATCCCTCCCCGTACACCCATGCACCACCGTCGTCACCGGATCTACCCCTCCCGCTCCCGCTCCCACCTCTCCCCACCCCCACGGACTCGCCCCAATCCCAGGCCTCACCACCACAAAATCCGCCTGCTTCCCCACCTCCAGCGTCCCCACCTCTCCCTCCATCCCCAGCGCCCGCGCCCCATTCACCGTCGCCATCTCCAGCACCTCATACGCGCTCACCGCCCCAGCCTTCTGCCCCGCCGCGCTATGAATGATCCCCGCAAGATGCATCTCCTGGAACATGTCATATCCGTTATTGCACGGCGCGCCATCCGTCCCGAGACACACATTCGCGCCGCCGGCCCGCAGCGCGGGGACGGGCGCGATGCCGTTGCCGAGTTTGGCGTTGCTCGTCGGATTGTGGCTGACGCTCGTGCCGGTGCGGGACAGGATTTCTAGGTCGACGGCGAGATCGGGGTGCACGAGGTGTGCGAGGACAGTTTGGGGCCCGGTGATGCCGGTGCGGGCGCAGAATTCGAGCGGGGACATGGAGTACTGGGAGCGGTAGATGGCGAGGTCGGCGGGGGCTTCGGCGCAGTGCATGGTCACGCCGATGGTGTGGGTCGTGTGGGCAGCGCCGATGGCGGCGTGCGTGGCGAGGGGGGAGCCGCGCGGGGTGGAGGCGCTGAGCCAGATGCTGAGGAGGGGGTTGTGGGTGCGGTGGTGGGTGCGGTGGGCGGCGAGGGCGGAGGGGACGGACATGGCGGAGGCGTCTTTGTCTGTTGGGGGAAGGGGGGTTAGTGGGTGTGTGGAAAGGGAGAAGGGAATAGCTGTGTACGGGAACCTTACCGCGGGCGTCAGTGAGGTTGAGGGATAGGTTGGTTTCGATTGGTTTGACGAGTTTGGCCTGGTATTGTTAGCAACTTGGAAGATATAGGAGAGAAACAAGATTATCTGAGGAGATAGTGATATGATATAGGTATCAGAATGATAAGAATGAAGTTAACGAAAAAAAAATAAAAGCGAACTCACCAAACACGCTCTCACACCCATTTCCCCTACCGCACGAACTACGTTCTCAATGCCAGCTCTATGCGTCAACATCGCTTCTAGGAAACATGTCGTTCCTGTTTTAAGCATCTCTGCTATAGTAAGCTTAGCAGCGATATAGCCATCCTCTCCCTCGTAGCATGCTTCCAGTGGCCATATAGCGTCGCATAGCCAGGAGTGGAGATCGAGGTCTTCGGCAAGGCCGCGGAGGAGGGACTGTGCGAGATGTGCATGGGTGTTTATTAAGCCTGGGATCACTATTTTGTTCTCGAGAGAAACTGTGGGGATGTTTGGTGGAAGAGCTGTAGGGGTTCCATACGTGAGCAGACTGCGGGGGTTGAGGGGAGCGAAGCTAAGATAACGTCGATGAATGACCGAACAGACCTTCGCCTTTGTATTTTAGAGTCCCTGATTTTCCGATTGCAGCAATTCGAGATCCATCAACGAGAATTGAGCCGTCAAGGATGATCTCGCGGTCTTTATTGACGGTGATGATGGTGCCGTGGGTATAGAGAGTAAGAGATGGGGAAGACATTGTGACAGAGGTTACGAAATGATGAAACTGGGGCAAATTGGGTATCGACAATAGTTTAAAATGCAAGATCAGCGAAAAAGAAGATCCCTCGCAAGGTTCCCAGAAATCGATCGCGGTGAAATCCGATTTCGGGTCTGGGAATCTGGCGAGTGCCGCTCTTGAAAAAACCAGTCAAGCCAGTTTGGTTATGCGTGTGTTTGCACTAGAAGGGCTATTATGCTGATAACACCCGAAAAAGGAACGCGGAAGAATTACGGAGTTGGTGTAGTCTGTCATGTTTGAAGATGTAGTTCTGGATAGTGAGGTCGGCCGTCGTCGGCCGAGATTCCTGATAGGACCCGAGCGAATCGGCGATAAGCCTTCGAGTATCTTAGTGCAGTACCTAGGCGTGCTAGGTAGCGCAAGAGTGGAGGTCAAGTATAATAGTCTTGACGTGCGGGGGAATGTGGAGAGCAATTAGCAAAGTGTCTCCTGATTCTTTTGACCACCCTTGTCTACTTTCACAGTTTCGATTCCAACTGGACCAGAATGGAGACACCAATTGACAAGGGAAAGGAAGCCGAGCGGGAGCAAGTGACCGCATACGAGCCTTCCACAACCAATGGCGAAGTCAGCGAAGCGCAAGGGCGGCTTGAAACGCTGAAGCGTACATTCCTCACGCGAGACGGATGGATAGGCGACTACGTGAGTCGAGAACTTACATCAGCTCCTTAAAGAACCAAGAATCTCATAGACATAGGACTATCTATACCTGATCACTCCAAATATCTGGCCTCTGAATCGGAAGTACAAGAATTACGAAGCACCGTTCTATGGCCTGAATGATGAAGTTCCAATCCTACTCACCATCATCCTCGGCCTCCAGCATGCCCTGACAATGATCGGCTCCGTGGTATCTCCGCCGTTGGCAATAGCTGGAGGAGCTTTCAACTTTGACCCTATCGTGACCGAATATTTTGTCTCAGCTGCATTCATCGCCACCGGAATCGCGACCGCTCTTCAAGTGACCCGGGTTCATATCACCAAAACTCCATTCTTCATCGGCACAGGTCTGTTATCAGTCGTCGGCCCTACCTTTGATATCATCCCCGTAGCCATCAACTATGCGACGATGAGATACAAAAATGGGACTTGCCCAGTTGCTGCCGACGGGACCCTGTTGCCATGTCCGGACGGTTGGGGAGCTGTGCTCGGTACGATGCTTTGCTGTGTTTGGGTCCAGATATTCATGTCCTTCGTCCCTCCAAAAACACTGAATAGGATCTTTCCAAAACTCATCACTGGAAGCCTGTTGCTCCTTGTGGGAGTCTACTTGGTGTCCAATGGAATGCAGAACTGGGGTGGGAGCTCCAACTGCCATGATGGCAAAGGTTTCTATGCACTTTGTCCGAACGTTGCTGCGCCGCGGCCTTTGGAATGGTGAGTTTGACTCCGCATGTTGCAGTGTAATAACATTGAAATGTGGACATTTCTAACATCTTCCAAGGGCTGATCCCAAATTGATCGGATTGGGTTTCTCAGTCTTCGTAACGATCATCATTGTCGAGACCCTTGGTGCGCCACTGATGAGGTCTGCTTCGGTCATTATTGGACTTGCAGTAGGCTGCATCATCTCTGGAGCGACTGGGTACTGGGACCGGAGCCAGATCAACGAGGCGCCCGTGGCAACCTTCATGTGGACTCATACCTTCAAGCTCTCCGTGGATGGCGCACTTGTGCTGCCGTTGCTGATCATGTTCATCTGTCAAGCTGTCTCCTGTATGCCAGATATCCTAGCCACAGCGGAAATCAGCGGTGTCGAGATCGAGGGAACCAACTTCAATAGCAGGATCCAAGGAGGGATTCTATGTGATGGCCTGGGGAGCTTCCTCAGTGCTCTGGGTACTGGGCCGCCTATGGTCAGTCAAGCGGGAAATAACGGTGTCATCGTCTTGACTAGCTGTGCTGTAAGTATCTATGCTCTGACGAAACAGTACAGTAGCTGACTGGAGGTAGAGCAGGAGAGCCGGTTGGTGCGCATCCGGATTCCTCATCCTCATGGGTATATTTGGAAAGTTCGGCGCCGTCTTCGCATCTATGCCTCCATCGGTACTTGGAGGCATGCAAGTATTCCTCTACAGCACCATTGCAGTAGCCGGTATTCGAGTACTCGGTCTTATCCCTTGGACGCGTCGTGACAGATTCATCCTGTCAGCTTCCCTCGCCATCGGCTTTATCGACATCGTTCAGCCGACTTGGTTTAACAAGATTCTGAATTATAGCGGGCCGAATGTCCATCTTCAAGGCTTTGAGCAAGGCATCAACTTGATCGTGGAAACGCCATTCGTCATTGCAGCTGTCGTCGGAGTTTTCCTGAATAGCGTTTTACCCGCGGATAGATCGAGAAGGATGGATGTGCATGGTGATGGGCACAAGCACCCTGTGCTAGGGGAGTCTTGATGGTGGTGAAAGGAGGATAGACCATGAAGTAGGGGATGGAAATCGAACAGCTGTTATATATAGAACTAGACTAGACTAAATAGAGAGGATACCACGGAGCAGGGCACGGTCCATGTTAATACGCGAGGTATATATATTGTCCCAGCGCCCCCTGGCTCCTTCACCCCAGCCCGATTATTCTTCTCTATGATTTCACAGGTCACAATTCTGCGCACACGGATATCACGTTGCTCGGGTCCTACTCCTGCTCGCTCGATACCACTGTCAGGGGCAATTCAGCTAGCAGGTAGCCGGTCAGTCAAGAAGTAGCCTAATTTCCACGGCGTCAAGCTTTACATCCTGCCTTCCTTCTAATGCTCGTGGGTGTACTCTAAGCGGTAACAAACCGCTTTTCACAGACTTCTGGCAAGTTATCGTATCACCTAGCTCGAGACCAATGGTAGGTTGGTGGAGCTTTCGGTAAACTATGTCTGATGGTTGAGCGCCTCCGAAGATGGACTAGCAACCCAAAGTTCATAGCGATTCGTTCGAGGTGGGATGCAAGGTTCTAGCATGACGCTAATTATAGGTTGGTATGTCCTTTAAGCCCTTTCTACCACTCCTCGAAGCGTTTGGTGGCCTCCTAAAAGTCCACAATCTGGCATTCCACATTTTTGATAATCTTAACATGGTATCGCTTTCCCATTTCCTGCTCTGAATCTCAATCTTGTTTCTAGGCTCGAGGATGCCCGTGCAGATTGAGGCAAACTTTGCGTCGAACTTGCGATAGGTAAATCGCCGAAACAAGGGTTGCATGTCGGAATGACTTTATGCAGCTCTCTTCAGGAAATATGCAAAAGAGGGTAAACTTTCATCGGTGGTACGAAGTTGCTTCGCATTAACTACCACTGGCGGGCTCTCTTATCGCAGAATGCTGGTGATCGTAGCACAATTATGACACTAACATTAGACTCTCTTCTCATGGACATCATATACCTATATACACCATCACGAAAGGTAGATCTAGTTAAGCGCGTTCATTTCGAACAAGTGGGTGAATGGACCTTGCCATGTCGCCCAACGCCATTCACCAATTCTTGGCGCCGATATCACACGCGGCGAATGTCCGTTCATCCGATAGATCATGCCCGATATATCAATTAGTCTGGTTCTCGAGGCCTGTGCTTTACGACGACGACCGACGGCTTCCATCAACAACAACGTGGTCGCAACTTTGCACACTCGTCATACGTTAGCTCAAGCTCTAGTAACGCCTCTATCCACAATCACGAGACCGTTCGTAGCTTACGATACAATAGCTATAGCCAAGCAGCGCCGCAGCAACCTTCAACCTGCTTCTGATCGGCCAAATCTTAACCGTTCCGTCGAAGTTTCCACGAACAAGCACGCCCACACCCACAAAGCGGCCCACAGCGCAAGCGTTCCACAATACGTCTGGGGTCATATTGAAGAAGAGGAACAAGAAGAGCAGCCTTTCTTCCAGGCTGCCGTTGAACCATTTCCTAGCCGGAAGCGCCTCTATCAACACGCCCACCCAATGGCTCAAGCAACGAACACACCCGAACAGAGCAGGAAGCGCCAGAGAGGGGGCGATTACGAGCCAAACAAACGACGAAAGCTTGAGGCTACTGAAACACGGCGCAAAGCAAAACCTCGATCGCAAAAAGACAAGAAAGTCGCAAAGCCTATCCCCACCGAGGAACCAGAATGTGAATACGAGTGTCTCGTGTGCATCGACACTTTCCCGGAGTCTAAAATGGTTGAGACAGAATGCGGTCACCGCTACTGCGAGGTCTGCATCAACAAAGTTTTCGACAATGCGTGTAGCGGACAAGGGGTCTTTCCTCCCAAATGCTGCCGCCCTGTATCCTTCACTGTGGCTGACAGCTTGCTCAAGAAAGCGACACGAGACCGCACCATGGAGAGGGCCAAAGAGTGGATCGAAAAGTCGCCCGTCTACTGCTTTGAACCTTTCTGCGCAAGATTCATTCCTAGTGACACGTTCCACAATAACGAAGGGGTGTGCCCGAAATGCCACCGAAAAACCTGCAAATTCTGCAAGAAAATGGCTCATGGCGGACATCCGTGCCTCGAGGACCCAGAAGACGTGGACGTGATCGCCATGGCCAACCGCGAAGGCTGGAAGAGGTGCGTCCAGTGCCATTTCCTCGTGGAGAAGATCGAGGGATGCGAGCACATGGTCTGTAAATGTGGCCACGAGTTCTGCTACCAATGCGAAAAGAGCTGGAGAGACTGCCTTGGTGAATGCGTGCTGTTGGCCCTCGAAGAGGAGATCCAGGCCCTTATCAATCTCGTCAATCGGCCACCACTTCATCCCCGTCCAAACGCAGACTTAGTGGCAGCAATTCTCGACGTACACGACCCAGCACAAGTACCGGGAATTTGCTCCCATCCACAAGACGACCAGGAGCACATCCTCGGCTGCAATGTCAACAGGTGCCAGGACCTCGGCGGCTGCAGCCGCCTGTACCCATGGCTCACGCGATGCAAGAAGTGCTCATGGATCAGTTGTGATAGTTGCAGGGCATGGCGTCTCGAAAATCAGAACTAGGAGAGCACGAAAAGGGTTAGGAGAATGCGCATCTGCACAACGCGCTGACTCTGCATGAGTACTACGTGCCACTTGACATCCTACCGGAGGATAGAATGTACTTTAGAACTAGGCAAAAAACCGCACTACGATTCTGTCGGCATTTGGAAATCTAGTTGATTCTACTGGACGCGGGAAATGATGACTATGGGTAGTCCGGGGGTGAACTGTCCACTTCTGCCGTAGCGAAAGAAAAACATTCGAGGGTCTGACTTACGAGGTGGCATCAATGTGCTTTGCTTAGATTGCAATTCGGTATGTACTTTCAATCTGTATCCTTAAGGCAATGGTAATCACAACTTTCTTTCGAACACACTGGATTATGTGAAATGCTCTTAGGCGAACTCTGCAGTATCTATGGTACAATAGTCAGCCTGAACCATGGAACGAGCTTCAAATTAGCGATGCTTCCCACATCCCATCATAGTTTTGTTCGGATTACCTCACATGCAAAGATCCATCAATAGCTTCATACTTTGTACACAAACTTTTCCGAGCCCCAACTCAGAATGCCGCTCCAAGACCAAAGCCGTTTGCCTCTCTTCACGTCGGTGCATCGACCCGAAGAGCCACATATCGACACCGTTCAAAGTAGTGTCCTGGACCCCGAGGAAGTGGCTGTCCTACGCGCGTCTAAGATGCGCAACTCCACCGTTCAAGTCTTTCATTCCTACAAATCAAACCACATCCCCACTGAGCCAGAACTACTGATGTGGGAATGTGTAGGATGTAAATTCAACCCTAACGGTCAAGGCCGTGAGCGATGGCGTTTGGACTCCCAACACCGGGCGCAAATGGCGAAAGCTTTGTCCGCACTTCCCGAGGAATATCGGAGAAGAGTTCACCGCGAACTCTGCTACTTGCAACCGCTTCAGGCAATTTCAGATGCTTAGACCAAGGAGTTGTCGACACGAAAGAAAGAGCAGGTATCCATTATTCACGACGCAGTCGCGCAGTGGCAGTACGACAACCCGGAAGAGACGCGAGATCATTTTCCGAATGATACGCTTTATCCGTGGGCCAGGGGAAAGAGGCACACCGGTACTGTTTACCTGCTACTTGACGCATGGGCCAAGGATGCTCTGACAGTGCAACAGCGTCTAAAGCTCAAAGAGACGCCTATCGTGGAGCGAGCTGTCACTATTAAGAACATCTTGATGGATCCGGACGAGGTAATCGAGGCTGGGAAAAGCTATGATGTCTTCCGCCTCCCTTTCCAGGTAGTCGTCCTTTTGCATGATGACGACATCAGTTATCGCCCAACACCAGCCCTGATCGATGGAGTTTTCCATCTTGCTTGGTGTCCTCTGGAACCTGGTCATCTTGTCCGTTCGCTGGACGCCAGACAGGACATGACCCGAGAATGATTGGTTAGGAGACTGGGCTGGAGGAGAAGGCCTTGCGGACCTTACCGCTCTTGGGACGTCTGGGGTGACTGGAGATGTGAGGCTGAACAAACAATAGCGAATATATCTCTCAATTTGAGCAGAGTAGGTGTCGCTAAGGCAAGTGTAGCAATGGTCATTGTTCGACTCCTGCGGAGACCACTTGCGCTCGTTATGCTTTGAGAGCACGTTGCTGTCTTCTCACTCTTGCACTCTCGCTTTCTTGTTCTCTCACTTCATACTTTACGAAGGATTATCGATGATACTGTCATCTGTTGTCATAATGTGCAGTTTCGGGGCATGATGTTACCGACATTCGCATGCCACTGTGTGGAGTGCTTCAATAGACTTTTCCAGCTTCGGAGATGTGAGATCTTCATCTTGCACGACTGCAAGCCTCGCTGGAGAACTTCTAATATCATCAAGCACGAGAGGCCTTCTCCGCTGTACTAACTCGCCCGATTGTGATGTTATATCGGAGACGCGTCCGACCTCGAGGAGACGCGCCTCGCTCCTTCCAAACCTCCAACCCTCCACCACACCACACTTTACCCACAACCCCATCGTCAGGTCCCCATCAACGCTCTCCTTCGCATCGCGCTGGGCGAGTCGCTGGCACTATGGGCAATCAAAACAGCCGGTAAGCTCACTCTAACTCCTCTTCATTGTTTCGTGGACGATTGTTGACAATCCACAGCGAGGTTGGCGGAGCGACATTGGCGCAAGTGACGTAGCGGCTGACACTCAAGCTTCAGCTAGAAGAGACGGACAATTTCCTTCAGGCCATGGGATCGCCTTCGGCTAAGGATCCTATTGACGACTACGTAGCATTCCAGTCTCTACGCGCCGAAATCCAACGACAGCTCGACGAGCTGGACAGCGCCGCACTTGCTGCAAGGCTTTCTCGAGGCGACGAAGACGATCGCATCACCATAGAGCGTCTTATCCAGACAGACCAACAACTCCACCGGGATCATGTCCTGGTCGAACGACTGCAAGCCGAAGAAGACCAGGCCAAAAATGGGGACGAGAACGCACACCCCACCGGCGAGAATAACGAGAAGTCTAAGAAGAGAACCCACGAAGAAGCCTTTAAGTATGCGAGCCATGTCGAGTGTATTGCCTGCTTGGAGCGAAAGCCGGCCTACGAGGTCATCCAACTTGGATGTCGGCCTGCTCTTCACCACTATTGTCCCGACTGCTTGGGGAATCTCTTCAAAGCCTCCATGAACGACGTCACGCTTTTCCTCCTAAGTGTTGCAAAGTTCCCATCAGCCTATGTCAGCCATCTCTTTACACCAGACTTTGTGAAGGAATTCAAGGAAAAAGTGGTGGAGATCTCGACGCCGAACCCTACGTTCTGTCACAGTCAGCATAGCCATCGTCCGGAATCCGTTATCGAGATCGATAGCAATGACGAGAGATATGTCGAAGAGGCCGCTCAAACTATGACGAGCATCAGCTTTGTGTACGATATTGATTTAGATGAAGAGCACGGAGAATCATCGAATCCGATCTCGAGAGAAAAAGGAAAAGCGAAGTCTACAGCAGCCACTCATACTGAGTGCGTGGCTTGCCTAGAGACCAAGCCTAACTTCGATATGCTGCGTCTCAATTGTCAACCGACCCCTCATGCGTACTGCCGCGAGTGCATCCTAGATCTCTTCGAGTCATCCTTGACAGATACATCGCTCTTTCCTCCGCGCTGCTGTCGCATTCCTATTTCTTTGGTCGACTGTGAGCCTTTCTTCACGCGGGACTTCGTTGACCTCTTTATCGAGAAGCGTATTGAACTCAGCACCTCAGATCCGACCTACTGCTCAAGCGTACCCTGTGGACAGTTTATTCGTCCAGAATTTTACAGCGGAGACATTGCCACCTGCCCGAAGTGTCAGCATGAAACCTGTAGAATCTGCAAAATGCGTGGTCACTAAGGTCTCTGCCCGGAAGGCCCTACGACCCAGCCGTTCATGGAAACAGCCAACAGAAAGATGTGGATGCAGTGCCGATCCTGTAAGCATATGGTTGAGCTAGAGACCGGCTGCTACCATATGACGTGCCGATGCGGAGCGCAGTTCTGCTATCTTTGTGGCTCTACATGGAAGACATGCTCTTGTCCTCAGTTCGAGGAACGAGGCCTTCTAGGTGACATGCGGCAGCGTCGGTCCTCTGCGGCCCCTCTTATCCGTCTCGCAACACCTGATCTTCCCACACCAGAACGAGCTCCGTCGGTAGCAGTCTCCGGGCCTGAAGATGCCGAATGCGAACATAATTGGTATCGTCGCTATTCTAAACACGGCGCCAACACTACGTGCGAGTTATGCGTGAACACAAACCGCCTCCGGTTCATCAATGAATGCCGACTATGCGACCGGCGTCTCTGTCTACGATGCATCAACAACCGTATCTGAGGGCTCTGGTACAGACGCGCACCACCTTTCCGCCACCGACTTGTGGCTTCTTGACACCCTTTCAGATTTCGAAACGGGGCCGATTTGGGCGAATGACGATCGATGAAATCGTAGGGGTACCTCAAGTATTGCTGAAATGGCGTGTACACACTTGCCGAAAGGCAAGTTTCAGATGCTTTTCTGCGAATAATTCTCATGACTTTCAAGTCCTTCCTCTCTCCGTGAAGAAAGAAGTCCGTCGCTACATGTGTGTGCCTTTTTATACTACTGCTGTGATGCCTCAGTATACTTTTACAAATCCACCCAAGATCACTTAAGCTAGACCGCGCAGGTGAACTTGGTAGATATTGGTTACAGATAATGAATATCTGGAATATACGGTAATCGAAATGGATGGAATCATGTTTTGTGACTCTTATCTAGCAGATTTAGCTTGAACTTAGCTAGCATTCCCGAATCTCTATCCAAAAGTCCCACAGGTATCTTGCTTTCCGGAGTCTTGAAACCAGCTCATACGATCTTCCATCCACGTGATATTGGTTTACACCGCTTGAAGTCCTTCAGATTTGTTTTCGAAATCATAACGAGATATAAGGTAAGACTTTAGACGAGCTTTTACCTCCTTTGACTACCTCAGGCAGCCGGGCGTGGTTATCTTACATCTGGCTCACTGTCCGATTATGACGCGATACGTCGTGACGTACGCACACAAAAGCCTACTAAGCTATTTCATCCTTCATCTCACTTCTCTCTGCCGAGATAAGCGCGGAGCCCGGAAGATTCTTGAGTTATCCTTTTGTCTTCCACTTCCTCACCTCCTCCGCGACAACAACACGACACCGACGCCGATCGTTGTACCTCACCACACTCGAGGCGACGCCGGCCTCCAGCGCGCATCTTTCCTGCGCCGACTCGCACTTGTCCTGATCTAGCGTCGCCAATGTCTTTGAAGTGAGCTGCCTATCCTTGGATCTTCTCGCACAGCGCTCGGCTTCGCCTTTTGTAAGTACACTTTCTAGCTTTGCGAAGATACCAGATCGACTGCTGACGAGAGCGAGGCATTGACGCGTTCTGCGGCCGCCCATCATGGACCAAGAATCAGAGGATCTGGTCCGCCAGCTCCAGATCCTCGATATCGCTACGCGTCTGCGCGTTTCAAACGATCCGAAAGATAAGGCCACCGCCAATGAAATCCAACGCATGGTACAGGAGGAGCGACAGCGTGAGAGGGATCGTGTGCTGGCCTGTCGCCTCGGAGGCGTCGCTGTCACTGCCAACGCCTATACCCAGAAAGAGGCCTCCCCCGTTCAAAATGGCGTCGCCAAAGTGAAGGAAGTCTTCGGGATTACGTCTGCAAAAAATGAAAAGCCTGGTGAGATATCGAAGCCGTGTGGAGCGCGCAAACCGTCCGCCGTCGTCGTCTCACTTAGCTGCCAGCCGGTGCCGCACAACTATTGCCGAGAGTGCCTCCTTGAATGGTTCAACAAGGCTCTCGAGGACACGATCGTATTCCCACCGAAATGTTGCAGGAATCCGATCCCCCTCGATCTCTGCAAGCATGTCTTTCCGTATGATCTCATCGAGCGGATCGAAGAGAAGGAAGTCGAGCTGAGCACGCCCAATCCCACGTATTGCGCTCATTCGACATGTGGTCGCTTCATTCGCCCGGACTATCACAGGAATGATTTGGCGAGATGTCCGCATTGTTCTCAAGAGACCTGTACCCTCTGTAAGGCTCCGGCTCATCGTGGTCTTTGCCCTGATGATCCTGCTACGAAGGCGTTAATGGACACGGCTAGCGAGAAGAAGTGGCAGCGCTGCTTCAACTGCAAAGAGATGGTTGAGTTGAACACCGGTTGCTATCATATGACGTAGGTTACCCATCCTGCAATCTTCTTCCCTCGTGTTTATACACGACGTTACCGCTGCTATGGTGCTTGGATACACGCTCACACTTTTGAATGAGAAGTAAAGCTGTGGATTTAAAAGACCTGTTGCTTCGCCAAGCCACCACAGGTAGCAGGAGACAGATGTCCACAGGCTGACGACGAGGTTGAATATGAAAAGAGAAACATACTAACCCTTTTATAGTTGCAGATGCAAGGCGGAGTTCTGCTACCTTTGCGGCAAGAAGTGGCACACTTGCGAATGCCCTCTTTGGGAGGAAGAGCGCCTCACAGCCGTACAACTGCGTGGGAATCTTCCACCAGATCTTCTAGCTATTTGGGGCCCTCCAGCTCCTCTAGCTCCTCTAGCTATGCGCGCACCACTCAGACGAAGAGTACTACCACTACCCCAAGCAAGGGCCCCTCCAGCACCACGAGCTCGGGCTCCACCACCGCCGGTACCAGAACTAGGACTCTTCGAGCAGCAGATAGCAGCACTACCACCGCCAGAGGTCATACCAGCCGACGTCAGATTCACCGTTAAAGAAGGCCGCTGTCGACATTGCCGCGGACGAGACTATCTTCGCCGAAACGCTGCCCCTGAAGTCGATACTAGCTGCCAAACTTGCCGGCACCCTTTCCAGTTGCGTTTCATCAATGAGTGTAGGCGCTGCAACTCCCGCCAATGCACTCGATGCATGTAACGTGGGTGATTTGAGACTCTTTTGCCGCTGCTTGGAGTGCTTCGGGCACTATTCAGAGATTTGAAGGAGAGACAGAAATGTCGGCTAGAAATCAAATCAGCGGATAGACACTGGTCTAGAGGATGGCCCCATACAAGTCGATATAAATAGAAATCAGAAATCATCATACCTGAACAACGTTTATGCAAGCGTATTCCCGCCGTTTGAGGTACTCCAACACATTGATCAATTTAAAATGAGATGTAACGATCAGAAAAGCGCAAACTGGACCATAGACCTTTAAACTCTAATATAGGTACCTGTGCGAGCTCTCCAGACCGCCATTATCTCTACGCCCTAAAATCACTCATTCAAACACGCAATAAATTCAGTACCACAACTCACCATCCTCCCCACCTCCCCTCTCATCCATTCCCCTTATGCCTTCACAGCCACCAAAAACAACCTCGGATAAGTAAGCATAACCTTCCCATCATGCAACCTCGGATATGCCTCCGCAATCCTCTCCAAATACGCCTCCAAAAACCCCTCCCTCATCCCCTCATCCAACGGATCCACAAACGGCCGCAGCCCCGTCCCCTTGACCCACTCCACAATCGCCTCCGGGCCCTCCAGCACATGCTGATAGTGCGTGTGCCAGATATCCACACTCTTACACAACGGCTTCAACTCATTGTAGAACGTCACCGGCGCCGCGATGGGGTCGCGCTCCGGGTTCAGCTTACTCAAGATGCCAGCCCAGGGCCCGTCTGCCGCGGTCTCGCGCATTAGGCGGTGCGAGCGCTCGTGGAAGTTGTCGGGGACTTGGATCGCAATCACGCCGCCAGATGGCAGGGTTTTGATCAGCCGCGCAAGGGTGGGGATACGCGCGGGGCCGGGCAACCATTGGAAGACGGCGTTGGAGAAGAGCAGGTCGGTGCCCGGGGGTGGCTCGTAGGTGGTGAGGTCGCCCTTGACGAAGTCGATGCCGGGAAGCGCCGCGGCGGCTTTCGAGAGCATGTCGGAGGAGGAGTCCATGCCGCTGATGGCGGCGTTGGGGTAGCGGGCGACAAGGACTTCGGTGCTGTTGCCCGGGCCGCAGCCCAGGTCGACGATGCGGGTTGGCGAGGTCAGGGGGACGGCGGAGAGGAGGTCGCGCACAGCGCGGGTGCGTTGGTCGCCGAATTTGAGGTATTGGGTTGCGCTCCAGTCTTTCTTTGGGGAGGAGGACATGGCTGAGGGGGAGGTTTGAAAGGTTCGTGAGTGTGAGAGGGCTGCGTAGGAGACTTGTGGATGGGGGATGAGGGGTTTGGAATTGAGAGGCGAGAGAAAGCGTGGGCAATGGCGGATAGGGTTCATACCCTGCTATTTTGGTGGGTAGTCAAGGGGTCTTCAGTGATGGTAAACCTAGTTTCTTCCACGAAGTTTTACCTGGAAGGGTGTTCTTTATGGAGATGTATATAAGTTGGTGATGAGTGAGTCAACGAGGAAGTTTGACTTTGGCACGATGGAGATAAGCAGTGTAGGAAGGCGAGTGCCGAAATGCGAGTGCCGATCTCGTTGGAGATGTCCAAAAGTGGATGTAAGTGAGCAAAGTCTTGATGGTCTGCAGGCCAAGTTTATGTCAGCAGTAGTCGTGGGAGTCGCGTTAATTCCCGCCGAGGTATTCTACCGACCCGCGGACGGCGCTACGCTGTTCTGGTTCACTGATCAACGGGAAAGTATTTTAAGAAGGTACACCGTTACGTTTCAATTTAAAACTATGAGACTACCAATCTAAGTACTGCAATACATTGAACTAGAAAATAGCCAAGGAAATGAAATCATAGCAGTCCGCAACATAACTTATTCTAATTCAGACCGATGGAACGAGCAACTTTCAACAGTGGCATCTTCTCCTCTAACAAGTAAACTTCAATTTCATATTCCCGTCCGGTATAAGCCAATAACCTAAAGCTCCATCCCAGCCATCGCGCGTATATCAGGGCCGACCTTTCTATGCATTTCAACAAAAACCCTCGCCATATCTCGCTTGAAAGGTTCAACAATACGTTCATTTTCACAGTCATCTACAGCCTCGAACTTGCGCTTGTTCGTCTTGACTTCACCCTTGTCAAGTCTACCGCTTGTCAACTCAATCACAGTCCCGTTCCCTCCGGCACGCTACTCGCCAAAGGCGGCTTCAAAGTCCAACCTCAGCAGCCCGATAATATCATCGAAGCGTTTCTTCCAGAGTCCCAGTCTCTGAATTTCAGCAGGATCCGGAACGTTGTTGTTTTGCGCTGCTAAGGTGCGCATGCTGGCGACTCCGGACTTCATCATTTTGGCGTACATAGGCTTCGGAGACGGTACTTTGTCCACCCCCAGTGAACGGAGGGCCTTGATACTGTTATACGACTCGATATCCGCAGTCTTGCCCCAGACACGTGGGTGAGCTAATCTTAGAGTCTTGAAACAGTCGGTCATGAGCCCGAAGATAAAGCCGTGTAAGAATTCCAAATAACTGTAGATATGAGGTCCGCTGTCGACTGTCTTTACGACAACCTGGGTGCGAACAGCAGAGCCTTGCACACGAGGCGGGACCTGACGTGTATAAGTCCCAAAGTCCTGAGGAAACTGGGCCGTAATAGTTTCCAATTCCATTGAGCATAATTTCTTTGCAAGAGCCGCCGAGAAGCCCCATCCGTTGTTAACTACGAAGTGTGGTCCTAGATTGATTGACTTAATCCTGCCGGCTGCATCTTCTGGTATACTATCTAAGAACTTAATAGCCTCGTGAGGCGGAAGGTCGAGGTGAAGAGTGTTGTGTCCGAAGAGGAACGACACCACCTCGCGGTAGGTCTCACGATTCGTGCACATTAGTGCAACTGCAAGAGGGTGCGCAGCTTAGGTTTAAGCGTCTTCCGGTCCCACTGGACGTAGAGACACTTGTCATCATTGCAAAAAAGCCCTGCGTAGACCTTATTCTTGAGTTCGCCGGGGAAGCCGGCCCAAGTTGAAGTCGAAGAGGCCGTACTGCTGGCCGTCATCGACGACGAATTCGAAAAGATAGTGTTAAGGTTTGCATAGACCTTGTTCTTAAGCTAGTTGGGGAATCTAGTCCAAGTTGAAGTTGAAGAGGCCATACTGCTGCGTATTATCGACGGCGAATGCGAAAAGATAGTGCCAAGGTTTGCAAAGACGTTGGAGACTATGAATGGAGGGTGACGCTGCTGATGAGACAGACAGTGTTAATTCTTGCACGTATGAGTCCCCCGCACTGCCATGGAATACGTACGACAAGTAGGCGAGTGTGTAAGAGGGTAAAGAGAAGGAATTAGTTCTCGAGTTCTATAGTTCTATGTGCGAGGAGATTAAGAGTTGAGTGTGCTGAGATTTTGGGGGGGGGGGGGTGGGGATTCATGTAGGCTTCATAGTACGTGGTTTGTGAAGGCAGATATTCAAGCCTACTAAAAGGCGAATGTCATTCAATGCTAGACCCTCCATGCAAGGCATTCGTGGCTACATGCATGAATTAACTTTGACTAATCTATGCCTCCTTTCCCTTCTCCTTCCACGCCGACGCCCTCTTGCTACCATGCTTCGTCGGCTTACCCACGCCCTTCTTCTTCATCGTCTTGCCCAACTTCAGCCCGCTGTGACCCTGCTTGATGCTTGCGCGATGGCCCTCAAACACGATCTGCTCTGGCCTCTTGAAGCCGGACGGGAAATCCTGCTTCTTGTTCCCAGAGAGGGCCATTTGTCCTTTTCGAACCTGTGCTGCACCAGCCCGACCGAGCAGCTTTTTGGCGCGCCCGGCCATCGACTTCTCTTCGGCGGAGACCTTGGGCGCATAACCGCCTGTTAAATTCGGTTTCGTGGATGAGGACGCGTTGGGCTTTGCGTTCCGCTTGAAGGCTTTAGCACGGACGACGCGGAGTTTGCGGGGGAGGAGGGGTGGGTATCTCTGGTCGTTGAACTGGAGGGCTGCTTCGACGCCGTTTTGGTCCTGAAATTCAATTAGTACGATGCATGTGAGTGAGGAGTAGTCTCTGACATACCTTGAATTGCACATAAGCAATGCCTTTGCTCACCCGGGTTTTCGCATCTCGTACGACCCTCACGCTCTCAACAGGCCCAGCTTTGCTGAATTGAACCCACAGCCCTTCTTCCACGTCGCTGGGAGCCTTCTGCTTCCGACTTCGCTTCCCATTTTCGAGCTCTTCCGCTGCTTGGATGTTGGTCTCGTCGTCCACGAAGCCGAGATTGCCAACGAATACGCATCGCTTGTGGTCTTGTTTTGCAGGATGTGCCACCTCATCAACCCGCAAGTGTCGATCTAGCACGATTGTCCCATTTAGCCGCTTCGCTGCTTCCCGCGCGGCTACCTGCGTGCTGTACACGGCGTACGCATTCGTGCTTTTGGTAGTAGCATCCATGACCTCCTTCAACGCAAACGCGGCCTTCTTCGGTATAACACCAGCATAGGCAGTGGAACGGAAGCGAATAGTCTCTACTTTGTGCGGCGTGTTTTGTGGTGCGAGGTCGGGAATGAAGGAGGCAAGGTGGGCTAGGAGGGTTTTCTTGGCCGACTTGGACTTGATGGCGGTGCTGGACACGTTGCCGAGGAAGACAGTCCGAGCTGCTTTCTCCAACTCTATAGCGTCTGAGGACGGTGCTAGAGATTCGTGCACGGGTGGTGTGTATGGTGTTTTGGCGTCGTCGTCGACTGCGGACTCCTCCTCTTGCTCGGAAGCATCGTCGTCCATGCCCTCTGCCTCAGACTCGGAGCTTGAATCCGAGTCGCTGGCAGAGTTCTCCTCCTCGTCTGTCGTCTTTAGACGCTTCTTGCCCTTCTCTATCTTGTGCTTGGCATCCTCTCGCGCTTCTTCCCTGGCTAGCTTGCGCATATAGACATCTTCTAGCTCAGCTTCCGGCTCGTCATCGCCTCCACGTTTCCTCTTTTTCTCGGGGCGCTCTGTTTTCCCGCTGATCAGTAAATCTGCCGCAGATTGAGCATGCTTGGCTTGTGCGCCAGTGGTTTCGTCCTCAGAGTCCTCATCGACTGAATCTTCTGCCAGTTCCTTCAATTCCTTTGTAGCTGCAGGGCGATACCGCGACTTTGGTGGAGCTACGACTGGTCCTAACTATAAGAAAGCTCATTAGCTACTGCTTGCATGCTGCAGACGTTGTATAAAACTCACACTACTAGCAAATAATGATGCCAAGCTGGGGTCGACTGTTTTACTTTCGCTGAACAGCGAGCCCCCTTTGCCCGCCTTCTCGGGCTTGGCCTTCTTCACGCGATTGCTCTCTTTTTTGGCCATGGTGACGTTGATGATTTGGTTTGCGTGCTGCGGAAGAACGCATGAAAGAAATCCAAGATTTCGCGTCGGCGTCGGCAACAGAGTTGATCCGGCATGATGCAGAAGCGGCTAGCGCTGGTCATCGGATTCCCTGGCGCAAAAGCGAGCGGGTGGAGGAGGTTGTCGGTCGGCATACACTCCTACGCAGCAACACACGTCCCCCAGCTTCTCCTCAGTCTCTGCCACGCACGCAGCCCTCAATAACTCTCGTAGCAGTGTCCGGCAAGCTGTCTACCTCGTCGAACTCCCCACAGAAGCGTGCCCACTCCACCGAGCCGCGGAACTTGCCAACCCCCCAACGCGCACTCCCTCTGGCCGTCTACGCAGCCAGCTGCTTCGTTTCCACGCCAGAAACACTGGTCACCACCATCACATCACCCGTCGACAGCATTGGGTCCGGTTGGATACGGTTTTTAGCCTGGGCGCACCATGAGCGCGCTCCAGCGGACCAGCAGGAGCAGGTCCAAGACTGCCCCAGACACCAGCGGTGACCACACGGGCTCCAACGGTAAGCTCTATATCTCTACAACATCAGAGAGGGTTCATGTCCTCTACACTGATCTTTTTCGCGTGCTGGATTGCCTGGACCTCTCGCCGTGGTGATTTGGAGTCGCTCATAGACCTCACCGCGCTGAAGACGATCGCGAGAGCGTAACACCCTTCCGCGTCTCCCACAGCACCTCTCACTACGAAATGAAGTCTATAAGAAGCTAACACTGAAGTTATAGGGACGCAAACTGTGACGTCGAACCGCCTTCCTACCACCGACACCCCAGCTTCGACCCAGCGAGCCACCCCGCACACTTCCTCCTCCGAGAACAACCCCCGAATACCTACCAAAATAGCCGCAGACATGCTAGAAACACCTTCTGCGCCGAATTTGCCGGTCGGACTTGTCCAAATCAATGGCGATGCCGCGTCCGGAGAATACCACTACGACGACCAGAGCGACAACCGGTCTAGTAGCCTTAGCGAGCTCGCAGATGGTTTGGATGACCAGGACGAGCCAACTCCTATAGCTGACCCAGCTTTGGGGTACGAGGAGAACGACTCAGAAGCTGAGACCGAGCGACTCGAGCGCACGCCGCGGAAGCTGGTCCGCACGGCCACGAACACCACAATAGCGTCAGAAACAATCGTGGAAAGGACACCAAGCAAGCTCTCCAATGCGCTTTTGCTAGACCAGGACGAGTCGGGGCCGCCGTCTCCATTAGCTATCGTCGAGGACGGCATCACAAAGGATATAGCGGATGGAGAAACGGATATGAACTCTGTGTCATTGAAGCTTGCCAAAGTGGCTGGTTCTTCAACAGAAAGCCTAGCCGAGATGGCTGGCAAGAAGCGGAAACGTGCGAGCGACGATAGCTCCGACGATGAGCTAGAAGCTCAGGAGCCCGCGAGAAAACGGAGCGACAATGGCAGAGAGGACCTCCTCAATGTCGAGCAGGCCTCAAACGCCGACCACTCCGACCAGGCAGGTGTGGAGGACGGCGATACCCCAGATGAACCAGCGGTGCCGACTGCTGAGCAACAATTGGACATAGAGGAAACAATCGCCGACGTGGCGGAGGAAGCAGTCAACGAACTGGCTGCTGTGACTAAACTTCCCAAGACACGCAAAGGAGGGAAGAGGAAAGGGCGAAAGGCTGCAAATGACTCCGCCGAAGAAATGGCAACAAATGCCGACGAAGGCGCTGAGCCCGAGGGAGAGCATGATGAAGACGATGGAGGCGTAATGGACGAAGAGCGTAAGTCAACTTACCCACCCACAGAAGTTTCGAATGTCCCATTGACTTTGTTTCATAGTAAACAAGAAGAAAACGGCCATTGAGTCCCTTGCCGAGATCGAGAAGAAATTCAAGATATTCCGAGAGAAGTAAGCGAGCAGTCCCACCCTGGCCTCTGTGGACCCTTCCATCCAGGAGACTGGGATTACTGACATGTCATCTAGATATTGCGATGAAAGCTTGGCGCAAATAACCAAAGAACTGGAAATGCTCAAGCAAGCCAATTGCACACATCCAGAGTACCTTACAATGGTGCAATGCGTGGACGAGAGACGCGATGCGAAGGTAGATTACGAAAAGAGGCTTGTTGGTTTCAAGCAGAACTCGCTCAACGTCAGGAGCATGGCCGAACGCCATCAACTACACGGCCAGTACTTCCAAGCAGTCCGCGCGATCAGAGAGAAGTTCATCTCGGAATGCAACGAGCGCATATACCAACTCCAAAAGGGCCGGAGACAGATGGGCGTCGACGAGACAGTCTATGCCTACGCGTTTCCGGAGAAACGATCTACACAAGTCCAGCATCAAACCGCATACAACCACGAGGTGTCAGTTCTCTCCGGCATCGCCAAATACGTTGGCTTTCCTGCTGCGCCTAATATCACCCCCGCTCGATCGTCTGATATCGATGACGATCTCCGTGCCATGAAGGTAGACTGCGTTATCTCCCAGCCACAACGGATGGTGCTGACTCAATCGGCTTAGATACCCGTTCGACCAGCTCCGCCAACTTTCCGTCCGACCTATCGACCATCACGAGCTGATGAGGCGGCTGCTGAAGAGCAGTTCATCGAGCAGACTCCGTGGGCTAACCCACGACACCCCGATCATCAGGCCCATTACCAAGCTGTCCCAGCCTCGGCATCGCGGAACATCAGTCAGACATACCAAACACCCGCGGGCCAAAGGCGCATAGTTGACGTCCACGTTCCTAATGGATCAGCATCGACCATTGACATGGCGTCAAATCCTCCTTCCTCAGCCGCCGCTCAAGGCCAAGGAGGACATGACAGGACCCCAGCAGACTCTCCAGTCATGCAGATGAAGCGAAACGCCGGTCGACCTGACGTCCCTAGCCCCGACGACCCTCGACTCAACAGCTTCGCTGCCATCTCGCGAGAGGCTTATCAGAGCAACAACCACAACTTGTACTCGAGCCCCGCCGGCGCTCATGTTGAGCATACCCCTGACGACCGCGAAGCATCCCACGCCGCACCTCTCGGCGCCCGCTGGAACGGCGCTGGCATGCGCCATCTCACCGCCGCCGCACCTCCACCCGGCCGAGCTCAGGACCCGCGGAACGACCCTGGCAGAGCACCACTCGGGCAGCGAAACAGTCTCGGCACGGTCAGTGTTGGGAGCGGAAGCGCTTTGTTTGGTCGATAGCATTTCATAATGCTATCAAGACAGAGACAGATATCTAACTTTCCAATCTTAGAAGCTACTTGAGCCTTTTCCTTAGCCTATTATTTATGATACCAGGTCGGCGGGGATATATTTGATCGGGACCTTGCGGGGTTTTTTTTGCAAAGGTTTCCCTCAGCACTTGGCGTTCTTGTGGGATGGGATGGGATGGGATGGGGTGCGAAGTGCCTCTCCTCTTTATAGACCGGGCCTAGTTCGTGGCCTCTTGTTGCATTTTGCGACGGGTTCTCTCTTTCTTTCCTTCTCTCTTTCTTCTCTTCTTTCTTTTCTTGTGCACACTTTGGGTTATTTTCTTTTTCTGGGGTTAATGGCGGGGCGGGTAAGGGAGCACATGGGAACTGGGATACGATCTCACGAGATCGACGTGGCGGCGAAAGCTGGTTGCTGGTTGCGACTGTGTAAACTTTGTTCTTTGGGTAGAAAGAGCGAGCGGGCGAGCGGGTGAGCGGTATCCAATGAATTGCCGACGTGTTAGATTGGCTCTACTACAATTCTGGAGGGGCTATGTGATATATGCGTGACATGTGTGAACTAAAGAGGATGAGAGAGCCAGTCTTGGCAGTGCGGATGGTGATGCGTACCCCCCCTGGCCCATCGAAATGCGAGTGTGCTAGATGTGAGAGGTGCGGGGTTGGGAAGCAGAACTCCGGCAGAGGGATGCGGAAAAGACTAGTCACCTAGAGTCTGTGGGGAACGAAGTGTCATGAGTGTGAGAATCAGGCCACGGGCGTGGAGGAATAGATGTCGTATCCGCGACGAAAAGTTGAGGGGTGCTTCGATAGGTTGAAGCTGACGTCAAAGGACTCTTCGACTTCTACGTCGATATTCGCTTGTTGAACGCCGCCCGCTGACTTCACACGAACATATCGCACATAATCACCACTAAGCATTCCAAGTAGTCCTCCCGCAAGCTCATCTGAGCCCCATCCTCTGGTCATATCTCATAGCTTTCTACAGCCAATATCTGCTCAGCTTTCCTACATCCGCCCCGTATCTACACGGGGGGGGGTCTCTCCCAATACTTACACCCAGCACCCAGAACACCAGCAATGCAAACGCCGTCCCTTTTCCGCTGTACATTCATCCTATACGTCGCTGCCACCGTGAAGGTTCCAAGCACAGTTACGGCGGTCATCTAGGCTTCGCCAGCCCCAGAGGCAGGAGTCGCCCAACTCCTCTTCCTCCTTAGCATACACCCTCGCCTTCTCCAACTCTAGCCCCATCTTCCCAAATGGCACATCCCCATTCCCCAGCACCTCCTCACCCGCCCCGCGTTCAAAACTCAAACTCAGACCGAAACCTCTCCACATCCATCCCCGGCCCGACCAAATCCCCCAAATCCCGCCGCTGCATCTGGCTAAACACCCGCCGCAGCGTATCAAACAGGTTCGTGCTCTGGTTCTGGCTGATCATGCGATCCAGCTCCACCTCATTGACCGCATCGCCCACCACCTCCCGCGCGCGCTCGCGGCCTTCCTTCTCCACGACCTTGTGCATCGCAAGCGCGCCGAGGAGATGCTGCGCCGCCTCGGCGAAGCAGCCGATGTTGATGCACGAGACGCCGAGGTTATACCTCGCTCGCACGAAATTCGGGCGCAGCGCGAGGGCGCGCTCGTACGCGTCGATGGCCTCCTCGCTGCGGCCGGAGTTGGCGAGGGTCGCGCCGAGGCGGTTCCACAGGAGGTGGAGTTGGTTTTGCTGGTTCGTTGTGCCGGACTCTGTGGATGCGAGGGCCGCGCCGAAGCAGTCGACGGCTTTCTCGTACTCCTCAGCGCCATAGAAGAGGACGCCCAGGCCGACTTGGACGTCGGGGTCCATCTGCTCCCCCGAGGGCGAGAGCTGGGCGGCTTCGATGAAGAGGTTGGTGACTTTTTCGTGCAGCATCTGGCGGTCTGTGAAGCCGATGTCCGCGCCGGAGGAGAGGGGTTCTTTGATGAGGGAGGGGTACTTGGTTGCGAGCCAGCGCTCGAGGGTGCGGTAAGCGGTGCTGTCGTAACCTTCGTTGGTGTAGGAGACGGCGAGGCCCATGAGAGCTTCGAGGTTGGAGGGGTCGAGCTGGAGGGCTTGCTCGAGAGCGCGGATGGCGGGTTGCTCCTTTTCGTTCTGGGCTTGTGCGGCGCCGAGCTTCGTCCAGGCTTCGACGTGTTGAGGATCCTTTTGGACGGCGGCTTCGAAGGCGAGGGCGGCGAGCGAGAGGTTGCCGCCTTCGTCCATTATCCGGACACCCTCTTGGAACGGGTTCGACACGTCTTTGAACAGGTTTTCGTTCTCGAATAGGTACTCGCCCAGTTGCGGATCCCGCATCGCACTGTGTGTATTCAGGCCGTCGAAGCCCTCCCACTGGTCGAGATCGCCCATGTGCATGCCATCGACGAAGTTCTCCTCGTCGGCAAGTTGCCTGCCAATCTGGGCCTCAGCTTGAATTCCGCGCCAGACAGACTCGAAATCGCTGAAATTGTCAACTGACCTGTCCATATCGTTCAGCTCCGCCTCCATAGCCGCGTTGGCCTCCGCATCCAGGTCCTTCGTGTCCGTCGACTCCATCTGCGCAAACTGCGCTTCCCAGTCCTTGTCGTCGAGCTCCACCATTCGTCCTTTGCCCTTGCCCTCGGCCTGGATGGGCTGTTGGTAGGGTTGTTGCATCATGCCCATCCCGCCCATGCCCATACCCATTCCGCCCATGCCCATGCCCATCCCGCCACCGTACATAGGTCTCTGGTAGCCCATCATGCCCGCCTGGGATGCCATGCTCGGACTCGCCGCTCGCGCGGTCGCATTCATGTGCTCATACTTTGCAAACTCGGCCGGATTGAACCCCGCCGACCTGGGGCCCTGCATTCCCGGGTCCATAGCCGCAGGTCCCTGGACGCCGGGATCGAACTCTGCGGCCCACGCCGGCGAGCCTGTCCGCTGGCTTGTACGCTCGAGTTCTCGCCGCATCTGCTCCATGGCGAAGGGGGAGGCGGGGTTTGGGCCTTGGGGGAGCTGGCTCGGGTGGTTTAGGAATTCGTTCATCATCTGTACATACGTATATTAGCATCATGCCTCGCTGTAATACATTAAACAGTAACGATAGAGGAAAAGAGATAGCGAGGAGAGCTCATGGCTCCGCTACACGGCTCGAAATCATGCACCTACATTGTCTTGACCTCCGCCCATGGCCTGACTCCGCATGCCCTCTTGCAGCCCACCAGGCCCCCGCCCGACCAGCCGGTCTCGTTGCAGCGACTTGTTATCCTGGACGTGCTTTGTGAACTGGCTCAGCGGGTTGCCGGCCGTCGAGCATTCGGCGCCACCCATAAACGACATCGTGAGAGCTGTGGCGAAGGGTCGTACAGCTAGCTGGAATACAAGAGGTGTTTAAGTATGTACTTTGGGATGGAGAGAAAGCGGAGGAGGAGGAGTATCAGGATTCGAGAGGCAAAGGAGAGTCGTAGCAGGCGTGTCGTTATGTGTATGGTTGGTGCTAGGCACTGTTGATGATGTGAAATGCAGAACGTGGGGTTGCTTGGAGGTCGGTTCTGTTGGCCCGACGCCGAGGTTCAATAATGGCTTACATTCACGAGCAGACGCATGCACCACAACGGAGAAGGCGTGCTTGGGTATTCAGTATAGAAGGGCGAAGACGTCACTGTCTAAAGTAGTATAGAAATATGTTTGAACCCAACGTGAATGTCATGGGCGTTAGCAAATCCTCCATGTCAAACAACAGCAGTCTCAAGCTGTAAACATGGTGAATCAAAGCTCATTCCGCCATTTATGGTATCACAGTAAGGGCTTCAAGCCGACCATCCCAGGTGAGTGTTATCAGATTTGCGTGATCACATGTCAGATTGTTTGTCTCCCTTATAAGGGTTCACCCGCGAGGCCAACAAGTGAAGGGTCCTTGATCTTTGGGATATAAGTTCAATTCTTTTTATCTTCTGCAGAAATCCCTCTACAGTACTCTAATTCCCAAAGAGTGGTGAGGCCATGCTGCTCATTCGTCGATACTCTACTATTTTACAACCCAATATTATCAAGACAAAAACAATGACCAAAAAGAAGAGGAAGGTTGGGAATTGTACAAGAAAGTTCCTTTGGGTAGTAGAAAGGACCACAACCAGGCACCACAGTAACACAAAGATTGAACCGCTCCAGGGCCCCCACTAACCATCAGAAACATGACCTTCATATACATCCAGACTCCCCAGAAGCTCTACCTTTCGGCGGTAGGGTTTCTAGTCTGAGTCGAGTGTCCGCTGTAGTCGACCCGGAGTTTGCGGCCGTAGATCTCCTTACCCTCCAATAAGCCCTTGGCATGCTCAGCGCTCTTAACGTCGATAAAGTCGGCGTGGGCGAAGCCTCTGGGCTGTCCAGTGCGCCTGTCAATAGCAACACGGACGTCCATGACGTTGCGAATGTCGCGGAAGAGATCGTTCAGGTCCTTGTCCGACATCTCGAACGACATATTGCCGATAAAGAGGGTCTTGGAGGGCTGCTGAGGCGACCGCGGGGTGCTCACGCTGGCAGGCCTCTCACGCTGGATGTGGTATTGGACGTTCATGCGACGGCCCTCAAACACTTGCTGGTTGAGGTTTTCGATAGCGGCGGTGGCATCGTTGATTTCTGCGAAAGTGACATAACCAAATCTGTCGAGTTGATCGTGTTAGCTGAGAGATTGTGTCTATTGAAGCGCCGCTTCCATACCCTCTGCTAAGACCCTTGCCATCGGTGACGAGCCTGACGTCTTCCACTGTGCCGAAGCGGGAGAAGACTCTCCTCAACTGATCCTCGGTGACTTCGAAAAACAAATTTCCGACGTAGATGACTTTGTTTGGGGTAGCCAAAGGGTTACTATAACGCGTATTTGATTGCTGCGGTGGTGCTACGGCACTGGAAGCAGCTGCGAGACCAAGAGCATCGAGCGCATCGCTCGCCTTCTCCTGGACGTACTCGGTAGCGGAACCGACTGCCGACTGGGGCTCAGTCTCGGATGTCTCTGTCGCGGAGGTCTCTGTCCCGGAGGTCTCGGTGACGGTTTCTGTGACGGGTGCCTCTATTGCGGTCTGCGCGAACTCCTCTGACTTTTCCACGTCGTCGCTGGCGAAACGTCGCTGGAACGTCAAGCTTATCGAGGGTTGCTGCCGTAGCCTGAATGATGCAGGCGTGAATGTGGTGATTGACCGCGGCTTCGAGATGAACGAAGTCGAGGGAGTGGACAATGCCCTCACGGCAGCGCGGCGGAGGAGAAACCTAGAGGCGCAGTGTTAGGAGGCTCCTAAAATACCAGAGAGGGAGCTAGGCATACATGGTGAAATTCAGAGAGGGAATTGAAGATGGAGGAGAAACGGTGGCGGGATTGACTCTTGGTGCTTGGATGCAGCTATGCGGGAGAAATCGTGAGGAGGAAAAAAGTCGATGAAACATGGATCGCGCTAAAATTGACGAGTCACGGGACGCGCCACCCCTGTCGCCCCTATAACGTCTTCGATTACCGCTCGACCGCAGTCAAAGTAGTTGAAGATATCTTCGACTCTCAGATCTAGTCAAAGATCTATGAAGCAGTGCAATTAACACTGATGCTCCAAGAGTTTTGTACCCGACCACTATATCCATTACATCATCATCTACTGCTCTATAAATGCGCTCTCTGCTGGGCTGCAAGGGTTTTCACCATTTCCGATGCACCGTAAGGTTTCCAATGCTCCTCGACTTCTTTATCGCAGTCATAAGTCAGTAGCCACTTTCCCACACCTCCCCACCGCCACGGCAACGGGTCCTTCCCTTCTACAAGGTCCACTGTTGTAGGCGCAACCCCATCGTTCTCTCGTGCTCCAAAGGCACGGAGTAGCTCGTCTCGTTCTCTTTGCTTCGGTCCATCGTGCACATGGTACAGATGCTGTTGCACATTTCCTCGCTGCACAATCCTCTCCGTTCGAGACCGTCGACATTCTTCATAGATTGCTAGAGCCTTCTTCTTCTCTGCTGGAGCTTTGGAGGTCAAGCGTGAAAGACACAGTCCTAGTACATGTCCGTCTTCCAAGGACATGCCAGCCCCAGAGGCGAGATAGGGGAGAGTGGCGTGTACGGCATCGCCAAGAGTAGTGAAAGCGCCTGATGGATGAGACCAGCTCGGTTCCAGAGTGGGTCTGATGCAGAGGCGCCACTTGTCTACGGACTGACACAGGTTGAGCAGTTTCGGGATTCTAGGCCCGGTTAGCGATGAAAGTGTAGGAGTGGATTCCACTTACCTTGGATCCCAATCTTTATATAACGCTCTCATTTCCTCGACGTTGCCAGCGAGTGTAGAGGCACCAGCAGGCATGTCATCTGGTACTAGCAGAACCATGTTGAATAATTCGCCGCCTCTCAGAACATAGTTTACTGTAAACGTCAATATTAGACCGCTGAGCTATCGGAAGGAAAGGTGACATACCAGCATGAGCATCAGGACCCATCCAGTAATTAACCTGCGGATCCTCCACAAATCCCCTCAACTGCGGATCCTTCATCATATCCTCCGTCTTCAGCAACAGCCTGTACGCCAAATCACCCGTCAAAATCGGCGGATCCTCCTTTCCCAGCAATATCTCCCGACACTTTGAGTTGATCCCATCAGCTCCCACCACCAAGTCCGCCGTCCTCCTCGTCCCATTCTGCATCACCACATCCGCTGTGCGCTCGTCCACCGCGGTAACCACATCCACCACCCTCGCATTAACCTCCAGCACCGCCCCAAGCTCCACCGCCCGATCCAGCAAGCATTTGTGCAGATTGGCACGATGGAAATCCCAGAACGGCGTCCCGCACTCTTGCTCATACTTGTGGAAGTCCATGTGCGAGATGTAGTTGCCCTTCCACCCGAGCATGTTGGCCTGCTTTGGCTTCGTGGCGTATGATTCGAGGGCCTGCTCCATGCCCCATGAGATGAGCACGCGGGAGCTGTTGGGGAGGACTTGGATGCCCGCGCCCACTTCGCCGATTTGGGAGGCGCCTTCGAGGATATGGACGCAGTGGCCGGCGAGAAGGAGGGCGATGGCTGCACCGAGGCCGCCGAGGCCGGCTCCGACGATTACGATCTGGCGTTGTCAGATTGCAGCTTGCAGTATTGATATATCTGAATCGGGTTTGCGAACTTACGTCAAGCTTGCTAGCATCGTCCCGCGTCAGCTTCTCCATCACCTTTGGTCGAGGCGCCATATTGAGAAAGAGTGCTCAAATGCAATGCTAGAAAGGAGGAGTCAAAACACTACTCGAGCATGTAAGAATGGACAAGCTCATAAGAAAGCCATTAGTGGTGGAAGACGTGTCATTGACTACAACTATGGAAAAATACTAGGCAGACTAGGGAGCTGCTCGCTACGTGCGGGCGCATGGCGACACGAACGACAAGCTCCAGGGCTTATCGAATCAACTGCCAAGTTAAGATCTGATAGTATCGATACGCTAGAGGCCGTAAAGAGGGGGAGGTGGTGAGGTCGGCATTGCAGAAGTGGGGGTTGCAGGAGCAGAAGTGTGAGACCCTGCAGCTTCAGAGCGGAAGTTCGAGTCGATGGCCAAAGCTCCTCCACCCTTTCTCGGGCTTCAGTCGGAGCTGAGCGCGTCCGGATACATCACTCGACGCGCTTTTTATGATTTGGTGTGTTTGTTTGCTGACGTGTTCATGGCAAGAAATGTGTTCTATGGACAAACCTGCATTACGCTGTTCCCTCCTTCTGTTTCTTCAGGATCTCTCCAGCGGGTGCCGGCATCAGAGCACCGGGTGGCGGCGTGTTTTTGCTCTTGAAGTCATCACACATTTGCTCCATGGTAACCCATTCGACTCCCTCGTGCTTATTGATGTGTTCGATGATTCTGTAAGTTCGTCAGATTCAGTCGACTTCCTCAAGGGGGAGAACAGGGGTAAAAGACACACCTCTCGTGCATGAGAAGGACATGCGGCCTCCCTGAGACATCAGGGTGAATCGTCATTGGGAAAACAAACTCATCGTACTCGCGGTAAAAGTAGTTGAAATGGTCCATCCAAATATCTTCAACATCTCTAGGGTTCACCCAGCCATGACTGTTCGGCGAATTCTTCATGAACATCATCGGCGGCAGATCATCAATATACCACGACCCAGGAATCTCAACGAGGCCAGTCTCCTGGCCCCTTTCTAGAGGCTTCATCCACGTCTCTGCTTTCTTGCTGTAGTCGATCTTTGTCCAAGTGTCCCCCGTCCGCAGCCAGTACAGTTTGTGATCCTCGTGGCTCATGCTGTGGTCGTACTCGATACCGTAGCTGAGCAACAGTTCGGTTCCTTCTTTGCTTGTTTCCCACCACGGTGCCACGCTTCCTCGGGGAGGCTTGCCGCAGAAATCAGTCAAGAGTTTGTACGTCTTGTCTAGCACGTCCCGTTGCTGCTCGAGAGTCATGTCTTTCGGATTCTCGTGTGTATATCCGTGCAGTCCAATCTCATGTCCAGCATCGCGAACCGCCGCGCAGTCTTCGGGGAAAGTCTCCAGAGAATGACCTTTCGTAGAGTCAGTCATTGGTCTTAACTTCTTGGAGAGAGCTCGTACCAGGAATAAACCAAGTCGCCTTGATCTTGTACTTGTCGAACAGCTTCAGCAACCGCTGGGTGCCTACCGTTCCAGCCCAAAGACCTGTTTTCCTCAGTCAGAACTTCCAATGCCACAATAGAATTCCTTATCAACCTCACCTCTGCTGATATCGCTGGTAGAATCCTCGCCACCATAGGATCCCAACCATCCGGAAACCGCATCGATGTCAACACCATAGCTGACGAGAACTCTCTTTTTGCCCATTGTTGCTATTTTAATGACGTAGGAGTGGCTTTTCGGGTATAATCGACAGCAAACTTAGGACGATGAATTTCCGCAGCTCGGAGCTTCACGCGCAATTCAATGGAGGGGTCCAATCCCAGACCCCGCTCTAAGACGCGCAAGGATGGCGGCTACACGGTTTATTCAAGAGTGGGGGAGAGTACATGACACCGGGACAGTGGTTCGCCGATGGACGTTTATCGTGGCGCCGCATTAGATCCCGCATGTTGCAGGGCTCCCATCCTGGAAGGTGGGACATATGATGGTCCATCCACTTCAAACGTTGTCAACCGTGGAATCGTTCCACAGGCTTATATGATTGTAGCTTGACATCGAAAGCATCTACACTCCACACGTGCTCAAACGTTAGGTGGTGTTTCAATGTCGCTAGAGCGTATTTGCGAGCTTTTTTCGGATCTAGATGAGGCACTTGTTGATCCGGAAAAGCTACACTCAATATTCGTTATAATGAGCTGAAAGAGGCTCGACAGGCCAATTCCATCGCTACTCTGCGTCGCCCTCATCGTTGCCATTTTGGGAGAAATGTAGCAAATACTCCCGGTTTTAACCGCGCCACTGCCTTTTTTGTTAGACGTAGAGGGGACGCGGAGGGGGCCTTGACGTAGAGCTATCGTGATTCCCTTTGTCACTAGAACAAGAGAGTCCAAATCGCATCTACCTACTTAGATTGAGGGCACACTGCCAAAGCACTACTATGAACCAATTACGCCTTGTTTTGCAAAATTTCACAGGTCGAACCGCTTGTCCTACGTCTACGGTTTGTACTGGGGCAATTATCCACAATTTCGTAATAGTACGTTATGAGAAGCCCGTTTGGGCTCCTCTTCCCTTTTTGTACTGGTAGACTCTTAGTAATAGTATGAACTATGCTATCTTGTAATAGTTCGCCTTTGTAATAGTACAGCAGCCCGGACTAGTTCCTATTTTAGTTCTTTATAGTAGTACGCCCTTCGGAACAGTACAGATATCGTACTAATCCCCATGCCGCAATTTTATAATGGTCTTCTAGCATGCGAAAACCAAACCACAGCATATCAATGAAATTGGCGGATGCAGCTGCTCGCAGTTGGGTCAGTTCTGGGCTGTGATGCGTTCGAGACGGAATCGACAATACCGCCCAGAGTACTCCAAGGGCTCATAATCACCCTGCCATTGGTTCAAACGCTTCCGGAAGACCGATTTGTCATGATTGAGACTTGTGAGGGAACCTGCGCCATCGTCGTATGGGCACATTTCTTACTGGGACTTCATGTTGCTGTAAGATTCTACCATGACACAAATAGAGAGTACGAAGAAATGCGCTTTCCACAAAAAGACGAATTCCGGTACCAAGTTTTGATATACAGGAACATTCCTCACGACCAATGGGCAGAACGAGTGGTTCCCTTCCCCTCGGTCAAGCCATCAGTTACGCTATTTTCCTCTAGCACGAGAGACGAGCTCTTCGAAATGAAAGAAGATCCAATGGCCGGAAGCATCAGCAGGAACTTCAAAAGACCAGCAAGGGGGATATGGAAGACTGTCCTCGAGTCATCAGGACTTATTCCAAGAAAAACTGGAAGAGAAAAGGTTATCCAGGAAGTAGGGTACATTGCCTGTAGCTTCGCCCTCTGCATCTCCGGGAAAACTTGCAAAAGGGTGGAATACCCTCCCGTCCCAAAAAGCAACCGCAACCTTTCCGGGTGAGGTGAAATTCGAATGCTCTCTTCCCTTCGAATTCGGTCGACTCATGGTAGGCGAAAGAGAAGACAGCTTTCTCGTAACTACAAGCGTAGAAACGAGTGGTAGGCGCGACTCTTTCTACTGTCGCCGTTTCGGATTCTACCAACTCTGGGAATCCCTCTGGACTGTCTGCAACACGTCTCGGTGTCCACATTCGACGCGCCTTAATGGAAGCCTCGAACTTCAGCCTGGTCGGGCGACTATCTCGACTACCGGCCTTCTCCGGTTGGAAAGGTACCATAGCCTCAATATATTCCTCACGGCCGGAAATCCTGCCTCGAGATGGGATGCCATATTGAGTGTGGCGGAGTCACCTTCACGTTGGTGAGCTGAGAGGTTACCGAATATTTCTCCGTCGCCCTAACTCGTGCCTACAATGTGCTGCAGAAGAGGCAGCAAGACATACTCCGTACTCTTTCCTTATTCTGCAACATTGTCACGGGCTCACGAGCTGACACGTAAGGATGGTGATGAGAGTGGGACACGTGGCAAACGCAGCTTCCCGTTGCCGCACAAACGAGCGGTCTGGACTTAGATAGATATATCCCTGCTAAAGCAGCCAGAACGACGTGCCATCTATACTAAAGACAAGTTGCACGTGCTGCACATGAGGATGAACCGGACTAGGACTGCCCAGAGTGCAAGGGTAAGACTTTTCCTGAGACGCTTTCATTGGAGGAAGCGGTTTGGACTTTTCTACTTATCTAGCCAGCCTTACGCACCGCTTACCGAACCCTAATTACATAAAGGTGGAAAAATACGCTAAGCCGGAAGAGAAGTACTGCCTAAACCTAAGGGGAGTTACCTCGAACTACTTTACAAATAAACGCGGGTTTCTAGTAAATACCCCTCTGAAAATGGACGTTTGTAACGCCGTTTTATGAGGGCTTTTTCCTGCAATGCTAAGAGCATAGCCCCGGCCTTGCGTAAGCATGCTAAAGGTTCTGTCTAGTAGCATGGTTCCACGCCGGCTTGAAGCCAGCTCGGAGCAGCGTTTAAGCACGGAGGTAAATGTTTAACACCTTGCACTAATCATTTTAGACAGTATAAAAACTTGTTAGGCCGCCCCTAATAGGGATAGAGTAGTAGAGTACGTTATTAGTACCGAACTCGAAGACCTGCACTCTATATTCCATAACGCCATTTTTCTCCCGAAACCTAAGGAGAGACTCTAGTTACTACACCTGCGTTGCCGTCCGGACAATGTATATCCCAACCTGTCTCTTGACCACCTTCTTTTTCTCTGCCACCGTTCCCCGTATAGGCTGCTGCAAATGCTGCAGCAACGCGTTTAGTGCAGTTGCATTCATCGCATCAACAGCTGCAGCCGAAGCGGGGAAGTCTGGGATATCCTGCGGGGGAGCTAGTATGAAGGAGCGGAGTGGAAGGAGGTCGATGTGCTCGAGATGTCGCTGGGTATTCTCGATGCGCACTTGCTGATTGTACATGCTGCGATGCAACGTCAGCAATGTAGACGGGGAAGACAGGGTCATAGGCATGGTGCACACTTACTCGATACGGATAGATGCGAACTCCCGTCTCATCTCGGCGAACCCCTCTCTCATCTCGGCGAAGCCCGTACGAGCTATCTCCGCGAGCTGTATTTGCGGCAGGTTATTGCAAAGCTGCATATTCTCAGCGACATCCTTGAACGACTGTGCGACCGCATCGAAGTCGGGCTGCGGGCCAGGCTGGTGAGGATTGTCCATGGCGGGAATGAGGATGTTGTGTTGTGATAATGTTGTTGTTGTGATGGGAATGTATAACTAGGAAGGTTCGAAGACTGATTACATAAGGTAGAAAAACACGCTAACGTAATCCACAAGTTAGTGGCCCGCACAAGCTAGTGGCCCACCCAACCACGCTACCGAGGCCAAATATTCCGAATTACTCCACCACGAACAAATATATTTAATGCAGCTACATACTAGCTAGCTGCCTGCCGCCTAGGGCACGTACGTGCATTGTGTTCTGTTGATTCGCACATGCTGCACCTAGGTTTTGCTCGCTATGGCCGCTCGGCCGGTGGCTCTGCTGCCTCCTCTGCTGCCCCTTCCTATACAGGTTGTGCACGATCGGCTGCTTCTTCACCTAATAGAATACCCTTTCTAGCTATATACGTGCGCTTCCTTACCTTCTTTTGTTTCTGGCGCTAATTCTCTATGCGCAGCTTCTCATTTTCGCTTGCAAGCAGCACGGCGTTTAACATTGCTGTTTCGCACGCCTTGATAATTTGGCCAAGGGCCTGTTCTGCTGGACTTTGTGGGCTATGCATACGCCGCTGGCGATAGCGCTTTAGCAGGGCTGTCTGCTTTTGTAGCTCGGCGACATTATGGGGTGTTTCGGCTGTCCAGGATCTATTTGATTGTGGCCGTAGAGAGGGGGGTGGCGGCGTGTAATATCCGGCATGCAGCAATAATAGCACACGATCGGGGTTGTATGGAACTAGGCCAGTAGCTGCAAATCCCGCCCGTATATTGCCTGTATGTAGTGCCTCCTGCGTGGCCTGCCTATATATAGGTAGGAATTCGTGTTTGTCGATGTGGTTGACACCGTGGCCCATAATCTGTTCAACCAGGCGTCCATAGGACCGCTTTAGCACGGAGAAACAGCCAACATCTAGGGGCTGCAGCAGATGCGATGAATGTGCAGGCATGCAGACAATAATAATATTGTGATCCAGGCAGAATTGGTCGAATTCGGGGTTCATATGGCTATCGTGGCCGTCCAATACAAGCATCCGATGCGTGCCAACTGTGCGATCTTTTGTATACTTATGGAATAGTTTTAGCCAGGCAAGGCCAATTTCATTTGTTGTCCAGCCATTCTCACTAACGCCGATTAACCATTCCTTTGGAATAACCTCGTACCAAGCGGCTTAGTGCATTATTGCTTCAAAGATAACTAGGGGTGGAATTTCAACCCCCATTACATTAATGCATTCGATAATTGTAACCCATTCTCGATTGCCCGGCTGTACAGTCCTAGGCCGGCCGGCACGGTCTGTTCCAGTAACAACCCGGGCAGTTGCAATAACACCCATTTGGCAGCCGGTCTCATCAAAATTCCAGGTGTCTTCATCAAGAATTCCATATTATATCTTAATATCTTGCACGCGTTTAAACCAGGCCCGGATAAGCACAGGATCTTCGCATTTAGCACGCTGATAGTCGTATTTGCGATT